GTCAAGAAACACTAGGCTTTAAAAAATAAAGTACATTCATTTGAAATGTTATCATGATTCATTTAAATCCAAGCATACTTTGAGCTATCAAGATGTTTAATGTACATTAGAAAGACTTTGCTCAATATTGGATCAAATGCTGTCTCATAGAAATCATGATTTCTCGTCAGTAACCATTACAGAAAATTATGTTCTGTTACTAATAGTATCTATGCCAATTTAAGTTAAATCTTATTTATTTCAAATATTCCATTTGAATCGGACAATGAAATAAAACTAAAATGTTTTTGATCAGTTTCAGATTTGAGCTGTGCTCATTGCAATTGGAAAAACCTCGTATTAGCAAGTCAAGGTAGAAAAATTGAAACTGCCAACCATACAAAGTAATTTTCACAGTGAGCTTTTCAAAATGATAGAATACTTTGAAGAGTTCCTGATGCATTTCAAAATTGTCAACATTTACACACACTGTTGCTATTTCTTTATTCTTTTTGCTGTGTTAAACAGGTTATATACTTAGAGTAGAAGCTGAAGCAGTGGGGTTGGTAATTCAGCGTTTTTTTCATGCTGAAGTAAGGAGCCAGATAAAAGACAAAAAGATAGAAGTGAATAAAAAATGGATTAAGCTACATTAATTGTTCTCAGAGTGGCAGTCTGAGAAACATATAAAAAGTACCATAATGCCACTTTTAATAGACTTTATATTAAAATCGGTATTTTAAAACCTCTTTGTGAAGTTCTTGATTTTTAAGAACAGCAGCTGTATTCGAAGGCAACCTTCAGCTAACCTTTACACTTCCACTTACATACATCAAGGAACCATATTTTAGTAGTAGCCTGTGTGGTTTAACCCATGCTTACCTGTGTAACTGTGAAATATCTCACCATCCTTTTGGACTGTCAGTGTATTAAAAGCTGAATGTAAGAATCTGGATTTGTATTCTAAATAACAACGTGCATATTCATGTGTAGTTGTTAACATATACAACATATACAAGTGCATATGTATATTTGTGTCAGAGGGAGCTATATGAACAGGAGCTTAATGTATGTTTATCTACCCCACAGAAATGTGTATCCCACTATTAGGACCCAAATTGTACCGTGAAACAATGCCTGCATTGAAGATACCCTGAAACACAGTTAGAGATACCTACTATAAACTTATTCATAGATTTTTAAAAATATTTAGCTATGTAAGAATACTATGAATCTTTATTGAAACATAGAGCCCTTTAAAACTTCATTTAATATCAAATTTCTTCTACCATAGGCTGTTAACAATAGAAATAGGGAAACTTTACAAACTGCTGGGTAGAGAGAAAAGAGTGCTAGCCAACAAATCTTTGCTTAGGAAAGATTGCTCTGTAACACACTCACACGAGCACTGTAAAATTGAGAAATGCACATGAATGTTCTCTCAGAGAACATCCCTAGACATAGTAAATAAATGCTGGTAGGCAAAAGTATATCCTTGAGGAAAAAAGAGCATGCACTTCAGCCAGGAATCATACAGCCTTGCAATTTCAAGGACAAGGAATTTTAAAGTTATTTTTATTTTCTTAAAAGGTACTTGGGCAGCTGTGGGAGAGATAGGCAAGTATTTTAATGGGCTGTAGATAACAAACAGGAAAATCTGGGTGTTTTTTGTTTTGTTTTGTTTTTTTTTTTTTTTGATGGCCATTAAAAGATCAGTAGGGCTGCTACAAGGGTTTCTGTGGAAAAGCTGAGTACTAATATCCTGAAGGTCTTCAGAATCAGAAAATTGAGATAGAAGAAAAGTCTGCAAGCTTTTGCAGGGAGAAATGAAGCCCACACTGAAGAATATGGATGGATTTGGAAGGTTTTGCAGTAAAGATGAAAAAACCGTGATTAATGGTAAGAAATAAGATCACAAAAGGGTAAATTGAATAACACCAGTTATATGCTCTGTAAAGAGTTCCAGGACATGAAAGACAGTATGGTGAAAAGGAGGACAGTGTAGGCTTTAATTAAACACAGAGCATGGAACTGGCCCTCCAAATCAATCTTTATTTCTAGGAGGCAAGAAAGAGCACCGAGTTGTGCAAATGTGTGAACAGAATTTCGGGTAGCAGCCACGCAGATTTGTCTGAGGAAACACTTTAACAGATGCCAAGTAGGCCTACTACTCCTTATGTTCATCCCGAAGGGGGGGAAAAAAAAATAAGTTACTTAGCTGTATCCAAGAAAAATTGAAAAAAAAATCTTGATGTATAAAGCTTGAAATTTATATTTTTCCTGAGATGCAAGTGAGGTACTGGGGAAAAAAAAAACAACTAATGGTTTGATTCAGATGGGACTTGCACTACTACTGAAGGATAGTTTTCTTCCCATGCAAAGAGAGGTATATAGCAAGGGCAAGAGAAGTAAACTGCAGTTAAAATATTGATCCAGCTTCTCATGCCATTCAAACTTGTCTACATCTACAAACATGGGCAAAACCATTATTACTTCACATTAGCCAAGGATCTTAGTCCATCACCTTTAGTGCTGTAAAATGACAGTCTGCCAAAGACTAGAAAATATGCTCATCTTTTAGCAAAATCATATCAGAATCATATCAGAACAGAATTCTGCCTGGGTGATAAACCATCATTCAGTTTTCTCAGGGAGTCAAAGAGGCTCTTGGCGATGACATTTGACAATGCTTGTTTTTTAAATAGTTGAAAAGGGATTACTGAGAGGGTTTGGTGTTTGCTGGTCAAGTCTCTGCATCTCCCTGATTTTCAGATCAGTATTTCAGTTAGGTTTGTTTTCCCCATGAGCCCTGTTCTGACATAACGTGGCAAAACCATGATCAAAAGTAGCTAGAGGTCCATGAATGAAGAACTCCAATCATGCCAGGAAGAGACTGGACTGGGAAGGAGATGGAACTAAGATCAGACAAAATGTTCTAGCAATGGCAGCAGGAGACTTGGCAGTTCCCATAAAATACATTGTAAATCTATTAGACTTATATGGATTGGGCTGTAGTAATAAGACATTAATCATCTCTAATCCAACAGAACAAGGATCCTCTGTGATTGGAACATATATTTATACCTCTTTCTGGGTCTGCTCCAGAACAAAACCGCCCTTAGATGATGTTAATGCAGCTTCCTGTTATAAGCAGTACGGGTAAAAGAACAGTTCCACATCTGAACTCACATCCAACATTAGTTCTCTCAGCAGATTGTTGGCTTTGCACCTCCTGGATGCAATGACAGTTGTTTGCCACTTTCTAAATGGATTGATAAGGCATCTAAAGAAAACAATTGCTGTTTAACCCCTCATGTTTCAGGCTGCAGAGCACATAGAAATACATACGTGTATAAAATCACATCTGAATTACATTGATCTTTCACGTCTTAAGTTCTACTTATCTAATGGCACAGCTGTTTTTGTTCCTGCCTCCAAAAACGTTCTCCATTCTGTGAAAAAGTACTTCCTCTTAAATCTTTTCTCGCCACAGAGGACAGAGCTAGAATTTGTAAACCTATCACCTCCGATCAGACCAGTAGCTATGTGCTGGATCATGCAGAAGTGGAGGATAATAATATGCATTAGTAAGTACAGAGATGAACACTTTAAACAAGTAGCTACTGAAGTTATATTAAAGCAACAGAAGGATAAAACACTGTTTCCCACAGCTTTGCTTTATTAAAGAGTGCAATAGTCAAAGGTTCATACATCAGCTACATAATCCTGTGTGAACCGTCTGGGGTTCAGTTCACACTAAAACCCTTTCCTTCAGCCAAGACATTTTCTCCTTTTTTTTTTTTTTTAGTTAAAAAAACTGTCATCTACTTCCACAGAACCTGCAAGAATTTTGCATTACTGGGGCTATTATCATTCAATCAGAACTGATTTAAAGTGGTTAATGGATTCACAAGTACTGAACAGAAGACAGGCAGACACACATGAAGAATGCTTGATTGCACAAGATAGGAATATTCATTAAAAAGAAAAAGCATACCCATAGAAAATCCTCCTTTTCAAGGAAAGTATCAACACATATTTCCCAGTTTCAATACAAGTAAAATATTGGAAGATAAGGCTGAAGAAGTGTGAGATTACGTAACATCGAATGATCATTTGGGGTACTGAATGCATAGCAGTAGGTGGAAGACCAATGGAAGTATTTAAAGGAAGAGGTTAAGAATTCCTCTCAAATCAGTTTTTTATGTGACTTACTGGCTTGTCAAAGAGTTCTAAAATATAAACTTAGATTTTTACATTTGCAGAATTTAAAGATCATACCTAAATCTTTTGATTACCTTTTCCCCTAAAGAACGCAATACACTTGTTATTGTGCAGGATGTGAATTGAGCCTTTATTGAGACTGTTATGTCTCTGACACCACCATTAGACATCCCAGCTTTTTTAAAAATAGTAACCAAACTTTTTATCTAATGAGTACATCGTGTAATGTCATTATGAGAAATGCAGTAGTGAGATGAGCTTTCTAAATCATTTTAATGGCTAGATCTCATAAATCAGACCTTACAACTACAGTTATATCCAGTGGTTTTTAAGTAGCAGAGGATGAGTAAAGACTATTTGTCAAGGAAAAACCCTTTCTTCCAAAGGAAAAGTCTCATACAGCTAAATGAGTAGTAATTTGTGGAAATAATTATGCTTTTCTGCTCTCTTTGCATAATATGGGGCAAAGAATTTCAGCCAGAATATTTGACATCAATTTTGTTACATTTAATTGAATAGTAAAATAAATGGAAAGAAAAGGTTTCTTCCAAAACAATCAATGTTACTAGTTACTTGGGCTTTATGAGTTTTCTTGCAGGGACAGGCGACTTAATGAAATACAGGTTAAATAACTTTTCCAGGATGTAAAGAATACTTGGAGAACAAAGTAAAATTCCCTTCTTTCCATTTGTCTTGCAACAACAGAAAGTTTCAGTTTTCAAATAAGTGATTGTAGGTATTCTCAGACGCAAGACATTAAGATTATATGCTCATATATGCTTTAGGAATTACATATTTCCACTATTTGGTATCTTCAGTATCTTCCTGGAGCATACAGAAAAGCCTTCTGGAAAAGTAATCTAGAAGAAAAAGTATTTTGAGGATCTAAAATTCCCAAGAAAAACAATGAATTGTTTCCCTATCTACAGAAGTAATTCCTGAACATGACTAAGAGACTTAAAGCTTCATTTTTATTAATCTTTCTGGCAATGACTTGCTTTATATTCCACAGGTGGTTCCACTGGAGTGAGGTATTATATACCCAGTCCTAACAGAATGGGCTTTTAGACCTTATTCCTAACTCAATTTAAAGTTATTTAAGTAGGATATTGAATATATGAACACTTATGCAAAAGAAAAAGTGGAGAGTTGCAATAGAATTCAATTTGGCTTTTCCACCAACAGCAGAAATCAGTGAAACAGATTTTTATATGCTGTGCCCTTCCGAAAGATTTCCAATTTTAGGGATTATGTAGTATGACTCATGTGAAAAGACCAAATCAAAGCTGTGTTACAACACTTCTTGTCCTGGTCAGTCAGTATGTCAAGCAAAAATATTATTTCAAAAGAAGAATGTTTTATTCCATACTGTCTAAAGTTTTTTAGAATCTATGTAGAATTTAAAAGACACAAGTGAATCCAAAGTAGGATTGAAATAATTCCTTTGCCTGTTGGTTACCTACTTGATCTTCTGTTTCCATGAATCCCAAAAACTTGCTTAAAATTGCAGGCTTCCAAAGATGTGGTCTTTCATTCTCAGAAATGCCTGGCAGAAACATAAGTTAGGCTGTTTTTAAATAAGCATCTGCCTTCCAAGGAAATTACTGCATTTAAAAGACAAGTTTCTAGTTGTGAAACTAGTATTTTTTGGTTCAATAAGTTGCTGATGAATCTCAAAAAAAAAACAAAAAAAAAAAAAGCACATTGGAATTTTTCAGATGCCTTACCTGTTCGGCTGAAGAAGGTAGTTTATGTACCACAAGGTCTTGCTTCTAATTCTTGAATCTAACCAGTGAAATCAGAAAATTAGTAAAAACTATGTTAATTATACCTCAGAGGACAGTAGAAGGCATTATGTGCTCCTTCTCTGTAGAATTGTGGCAAGAGCAAGGGGGCACACAAGCTGAAGACTCCTCTTGTATGCATTATTGAATCTCAGGAAGAAAAAGCTGTTGGTGTAGCTCTGTACACCCTTCCCTTGCAGACACCAAAGGTCATCTCTTTCCTAATAGAAGTAGGCAGGGAGAAGCATGATTTAGATGAAGACTGGCTGGTTTGGTAGGTCCTCCAGGTTGAAATAGATTAGCAAGATTAGCAACTCAGCCCTAGTTCCCCACTCTCCTGCTGTAGTCTATTCCCCAGCCTGCGGTTTCAGAGAATCACAGAAACACCAAGATTGGAAAAGACCTACAAGATCATCCAGTCCAACCATCCACCTATCACCAATAGTTCTCAATTCTCCCCTGCTGGCTGCCTTGCAGCATTTTTTCAGCAGTAGCATGACTGCCACTTTGCAACCCTGCTGTATAGTGTGGCACTCAGCAGAGGCTGGTGGGAGTCACGAATAGGTTTACATCTGCACCTACAGCACTGGTATCACTAGCCATGAGTAACAGATTCTTTCCAACAGTTTGGCCCCCTCAAATTCTGATAAGCAGCAGGCTTTTTTTAGGCTGCCACGCTGCACAGAGAGCAAGGTCTTTCAGGGGAAAGACTAGTGGCAAAGAAAACACAATTGTGCTATTCAAAACATGTGAGGAATGAAGTACAATGGTCTGTTCCTCCCACTCCCCACAGGATTTCATCAGAACTGCAGCCAGCTCAAGTCATTGATCTGGGGCTGCAATCTTCTTGGAAGGTAGTCTAAAGAGCAGATAATTCATTTCTTGAGGAATTAAAGCCTTTTTCAAACCTCTGGGCTCTCCACTATTCAAGCACCTTTGACTTTTTTTTGGCACTCTTCACTTCCTAGAGCTACACAACCTTAACAAGCTCATTCAAACATTTTCCCCTGAGGAATGCTGAGTGAGATGCTCATTACAGATGTTATCATGCAATTTTACCTTCCACTGAAATACAATAATGTACTACATGTATTGGTGCACAAGTAATTAAAATTGTCCTTTATTTGTTAGATTCCAGAGTTTTGTGAATTCAGGTCTTTATAGTCATGCTTTGAGGACCACAAAATATTTAATTTCTAAATTTCTATGGCTCCTTTCAGAAAGCCTTCCTAATGACGCTCAGCTGATAATGTTTTGCATTAGGAACATCTTGAAAGAAAAATATTTCCATTACATTTTCTGTATTTTTTCTTTGCCCTAATCAACCATCTTTATTTACCATCTAAATAGTTTATCTCTGATTCTTTTTTCATGTCTTATGACTTATTTAGTTGAGCAAGTGATGATATTCACCTCAGAATCTTAGCTCATTTCTATGATAGCTAGCAAAGAATCATACCTACATGAGATTTTAAATAGTACTTTTTGTGATTCATCAGTTCATGACATCCATATTTCATTACTACTTACAATAATTTGACAATAAAGATTTTAGTCTACATTAGAAACTGCAGGTGAAAGGAAAAAAAAATATTAAAAAAGAATGAGAAAGGATCTTAAAGCTACATATCCTACATATTTTCCAGACAGAAGATTGGAAGATCTCCAGTGGAATCTTGATTTAATTCAAATAGTGGAGACTGCACAACTGCAATTGCTATTTCTCTTTCATACAAATGAAAACCTGACCTTGAAAAAAACATCTAAAGAGGCTTTTATTTTTCCCCTTAAAAATACAAATAAATAAGCTTTAGTAACTTGTGATTGTTTTGCTCATTAGTCAGTCTTAAATTTTAAAGTAATCAAAGCCGTAACTTTTCCTTTGATGCTTTTGAGCGAGAAAAGAAGATAACAAAAATAATTCAATAATGTACTTGTCAACATTTTTCTTCATGTGGTTGAATCTGTCTTCAGCATACGAGATGAGATCTAAAGAGTCACTATTCAGGTCTGCAGAATTCAAACAATGTTTGAATGTTGCCGACAAACATACAACTCGCCCAAAAAGGCAAATGGTACATGGCAGTACTTGGAAGACATACAAGGTTCCAAGGTTCCAAGCAAAAAAACTGGATAGAAAGATTTATCAGCCTAAGGTTTGAAAATACTGTATAGTGATGGGAAATTGATTATAAATACTTTCTTAAGGAGACATCTTAATGCAGGAAGTCAGTCAGTAGTTCCTCAGAAAGCTTCACAAAATAAGTTACAGTAACACTCTTCAAATTGGCATTCTTTTATAATACAAAGAAACATCACACCAGAAATATTCCAGAACACTAATTTACACGTACTCAATAGGTACAATCCTTTCTGCACCCACTTAGCATTTAGTTTTACTATAGCTTCAACCACAGAAGCCTTACAGTCCACTCTGATACCTTCCTTGCCACAGCTCTTATCCTTCATATGCTTCCCACAGATACTCCTACAGCATCACTCAAACTTGTACTGGAGCCAGTGCCGTGCTGAAATACCCCCCCCCATATTTATTTATCATTAGTTATTAGGCCTGTATTTATTTGTCATTAGTTCTCATGAAAACCTTTTTGTATTCCTACAGAATAAGTAGTATCACAGAATATCCCACGTTGGAAGGGACCCACACAGATCACTGAGTCCATCTCTTAGCTCCAATCAAAATTCAAACTCTGTGTCTGAGAGCAGCATCCAAATACTCCTTGAACTCTGGCAGCTTGGAGCTGTGACCACTGCTCTGGGGCATTTTGAGGCTCTCTGCTTTTGCCACAGTGTAGAAGGAAATTCCCTTACAAACTTTCCACAGGTTTAAATAATATTCTTCAAAAAGTCTCTAATTATATTTTATCGAACAGCAGAAATGTTGTTCAATAAAATCTCCTCTTGTTTACTGCATTGCAGTTGAACTTTTTGAAAGACCAAAAAAATTTGTGTACCTGTACAGTATAAATTCAAATGGAAGAAATGATAGACATATAAACTCTGAACTCATATATAACACATATAAACTCTGAACTTCTCAGCTTCCTTAAACAAGATGCTTACTGTCCCTATTATCTTTAGGAGAGGTTGTTTCTTGCTTTGGTAGTGGCTGTTTATATGGTAATGTTAACCAAGATTTGATCTTTCTTCTGATTTTAACTACACTTGACATTGTTTTTTTTTTTTTTTAAATTCCTCACTGCTGTTGTAAGACAGCTTTACTGTAGACTCTGCTAAGTGATATTTTTCCCTGATGGAAACATCACAGTTAGGGGTCTAATAAGGTCAAATATTTCCTGCTGCAGCTCTGGAAGTTCAAGAACTTCCCATCAGTTTTATTTGTATTTTGTTTTCAGAAAAATTTTCCCTAGAAAAGAATGCAGACCTTAAAATTAACTCATGATACACAGCCAAACAAATCTTCAGGAATTGTTTAATGAAAAAAAAAAAACCTGTCATTTTCACTTTACTTTTGCTAGTTATTAGCAGAATCCATACAATCGTAATATTTTTAGGTTAATTTATTTCTTTACTTCAGTTTCCTCTTCAGTTTCAGAGGACCATAGCATAAAATAGTGCACAGCTGGAAAAGATGACGTGAATTATAGAATCAAGTATCATATTACAAATAATCCCATCATTTATCTTCCATCCAGTTTAATGTGGTGAGGTGTATTTATGTGCAGATGCAAGAGTGCACAGAGGGATCATTTTGTGTAGACTTTGTGATACTAAATCTTTGAAGTTGCTCAGCATTTTCAACAAACTAAGGGGCACCCGGGAGTATTCATTTCTTCTCAAGGTCCTATGAGGATACTCTACTGTGTGTGTAATATAGACAGAACTTTTGTTTTTGTTAAAGGAGTTTTTTGCTTCTGATTTCCAAAGCAAATGCATTTTCATTTCACTGGTCATTCAATATTAGATATATATCTCACAACAGCAATGAAAGACATTACCTTAGCACCTTGGCAACGTCTCCACTGATTTGGTTCAGTTTTGTTTTCAAACACAACATTTAAAAAGTAATGTCAAAGGAAATAGAATAGTTTTTAAATGTTGTGTGTTTACAGTATTCTTTATCAGTTTGGGTGCGTATCCTTACCATTGATGATAAGGCTCTCGAAAGAACAGCACAGAAGACTGAAGATGGCTGAATGACTTTCTTTTTCTCTTACAAATTCTATCCTTTTTTAGCATTACCTAATTTGTGCAAAAATATTTGATTTGGTCATGTTAGATGTATGTGTCCAGTTTACTGCAGTATTCTCTTTGTTCTTATGCTTTCCAGTTGTAATTTGTTGTTGTTCATTCCACTCCAGTTCTATGGGAATTAATATTTTTTCCATGAACTTTCCTTTGGACAAAATTTTGGTTGGATGGATAATATTGTAATTATCAGAAAATTAATTTTTATTGCTAAAAATAATACATCAAAATGACATTAAATTCTTTGTATGTGATCAAGAAATCCTGAATATTTTTTCTGTGTGTTTTTTAAGCCTTTCCGAAGAAATGCTGGTGGTTTTCGTATGCAAGACAAGCCTTAGTGTTGACTGTATAAGTACGTCTATTCTTATTCTGATCAGAAAGTGAGTTCATTATGCTTTTATTTCCGCTTGATTTTAGGGAGCAGAAATAGTGCCTCAGCAGAAAGAATTGAAAACTTCGGCTTTTACATTATCTGCTTTCTCTGAATACAGCACACAGTTATGTGCTAGCTAAAATCACAATTCACTGAAGATATGTGTACTACTGAGCTCCTTTCATTGTTGGTTCTGAAAGGTGTTTATGGACTAAATGGAAGAATGGCAGTTTTAATCCTCTTCTGCTTTTCTTCATTAGACAAAATAATTTAGAGATGTAAACAGACTTTCTACCATCATGACCTAAAACCCAGTGAAGTCAGTAGGAGCCTTTCCAGTTATTTCAATGGGTTTTGGATCAGGCTGAGGTAAAGAAGGCTCTAACTGATAGGGGATTATTTCTTCTATGTTTGTTTTGTATACTGTATGGATTAAACCTCTAGGCTGCACTACAAGATAAAATAGGAAGAATACTACATGTGTGCATCTACCATCTAGACTAGCTTTGAAACTTACATTCTGGTTACTGTGCAACTTGTAGAATTGAAGCGAGTCTATTTTATCTTACTACTACATCATGAATTTGGTTTACATCATTTTAATAATTGAAACAAACGTTCAGAATCAAATGTATTTTGTACTCTGTATTATTAGGTACAGACCCACTAAGAGAGCCAAGGACAGGATAAAAGCATCTAGATTTCAAGTTCATATATTTTGAGAGTTAAAAAATCTGACTTTCTCATCCTCATTCTTTAGAAAAATCTGCAGTATCTCAACTAAAGATTCAGGAATGTAAAGTCCCTGGTTCTTGGTCATTGAAAAAGTTCATTGTTAATTATTTAAACACTTATGTGTGCTGCCATACCATGTTTTGGGATTAAACAGCCACCTGTCTTTAAAATGTCATATATGTACATTTGTCAATGAATAAAGAAAAAGTGAACACATTACTTTTAGGGTTTATTTGACTTTTCTTTTGTTTTTTTTTTTTCCTTTCGTATACTTGGGAGTCTGGTATGTCCTATAAGTCGACAGTTAGTTTTGCAAGAAGCTAGCTGGCTATGCTTTTCATGTTACTTCATATTTATATACTGCCTGCTATCCCAAGGAGTCCTAGACCTAATTTTCAAAACTAACTGCATACAGCAAAAGTGAACTGCATCTGCCCTGTTGTAAAATTGCCAGATAAAAAGCACAAAGTAGAGAGCACAGCTGAGGAGAGAAATAACAATTAATACCATTTAGAAAAATGCTGGGGCTTTTAAAATGTTCTTCTGTATTGTCCTCACAGTGGCCAAAAGACAGCAAAATCAGTCATCAGTTCCTGTCTTGAGTTATCCAATCAAGTACTTATCTGATCTTAAAAGCAGAGCTGAAGGTACACATGCGTGTGGGGGGACATGTGTATGGTGACAGGGAGTGTTGCTGTGTTGGTGTTGGGTTGCCAGCTCCCTGCTTCAGAACGCTGGGTGAGGTGCCAAATTCTCTGTATGGCCAACATTTGGCCAGAGTGAAACTTCTGAGGAGGATGCAAAGCAGTGTCTGTGCTGAGCAGGAAGAAGCTTCAGTTGCTTTGATGCAAAGTGCTGGCAGGAGGATAGCTTAAACTTCTCTCCTCTTGGGTTTTTACCCATAGGTTTTCCTTATGTGACTTAGAGAATTTTAGAGAGTCTAAAATTGCTTGCACAGCTGGAGCCTCAGAAAAATGGAGATCTACCTTCTACTTGGCAGGAGAGGGCTGTAATTACTGAGATACTGCTTAGACTGTCATGCAGGAGGTGGGAAATGTTCCTTATTCTTCAGCCTGGAGAAAGGAGAAAATAGACTGAGATCTGTGGGCTGTGGCTGAAGGCACCTATCCAGAGGGGACAGGCTGGAATGTGGTCTCAAGACTCTTTTATGCATTTTTAGTTATAAACAACAACAAAATGCACACACAAAGCCCTGCTGTAGGGATACGTATTTCTAGATAAATGGGCAGATAGGTCCTATCTCCCGGATATTTCATTCTCACAGTCTGTCACAGAGAATGAGATCCTTTCCCTTGCATCTTCATCCACTTGAAATGTAAGTCCCTGGGCCAAGCAGTCATTTAGGATCTGTCTAAATCTGTTTGAGCTCTTTCCATAAAGAGAAATATGCCTGAGAGATGCATTTTGCTTAGCTTAGACAATTACCTTTGGGTGGAAAATCTGTATGGATGCTCTTCCCTCTCTGCCCTCCTATTAACTCTGAGAAGAAGTCAGACATCCATCATGAACGCTACACCAGCTGATGGATCCCCTCTCTGGAGACTGTTGCTATCACAGCTATTATTCTCCACTTCCTCTTTATAAGTGCTTGTTTTTGTCTTTTTTTTTCTTCTGTTTTTGTTTTGTTTTGTTTTGTTTTGTTTTCTGCCTTTCAGAATATATTTGAAAACAATTTCCTAGCAGCATGACATCTTTGTGAATTGCAGGGAGATCTTGATATTCTGTTTTCTGAAATCTGTTTTCTGTGGCTCATTTGCCTGTTCACATTTAGGCAAGTAGGTTTTATTTTCAGCTGAGGTTATGCAGAAGTGTTGTGATGACAAATGTAATTTAGAAACAAAGCCTTCGTGCTGAAGGCATTATCCATTAGAAATCTACTTTGATTCTCATTTTTCCTAAGTTTCCCAGCTGATTTGAATATTTAAAAGCTTAGCATGACTTATACTTCTATGTACAAAGTCTTTAGAAAAGTCCATCATTCCAGTTGGTGAACAGAAAAAATATTTAATGTGTGAAATTGCCCGTCTTATGATTTAGAAACTTAAACTGTATCGTTTGGATATTCATTGTTCAATATTGGTATTGAACCTTTTTGCAAAGGATTAAAAAGTTTAAAAATGTTAAATTTGTCAGAAACTTATAATGGGCAACGTGATCAGCTTTGAAAAGCTAATTCTAAATGCTATACTAAACATGCTGCTGTAAATAAACTGATGATTAGCTGCAATATTGTCCATATCTCTAAATAGAGCTCTGCATAGCCAATACATTTCTGTTGCCTTGAAAAATCCTTTTAAAACAAAGCAAATGTTGAAACTTAACTAAAGATGAAAGCAAATTCTACGATCAAAAAAAAATCCATTTTATTGTATCTGGAAATATTAACAATGAAGAAGAGTCCTCAGTTACAAAGAGAATTTCCTATAATATGGACTGCAATACTGAGCGATTTCTGTTTACTAATGTTATTGCAGTGTTTACATTTACTTACAGTACCTATGCTTAAGAATATGAAATTCTCAGAGAGAAGAGCAAAGAACAATTTGTTGATGATTTGGATAAATGTTAAAAAAAAAAATAAAAAACCACCTGTATGCATGGTTATCTATAGATGATTGTAAAGGGCTAACCAGCATATTTTTAAACTGAAGTCACAATATTATCCTGAAATGCAGCACTTTATGTCTGCCAAAATACTCACTGTGACAAGAAATAATGGGCTGAAACTGGAATGAGTCATAGCAGGCAGTAAGAGAAGTTTA